TTGCTGACGGCTCGCGTGAAAGTCGAGCTGCACAGGAAGGGAGGAGGACGACGAGGAGGAGCAGGAGGAGGAGGAGAAGGAGGAGGAGGAGGTGGAGGAGGAGGAGGAGGTAGAGGTAGAGGTAGAGGCGGAGGAGGAGGGTGTTTGAAGCATTTAGGCGGTCTCGCTTTTCCCGCTTCCCAGCGCTCCCTTACGGCCTCGGAGGCCCTTCAGATCGCCCCAAGACGGCCCACGAGGCCCCGAAGAGGACCGCAAGACGGCTCAGGAGGCTCCCGAGACAACCCAAGTGTGCCCCAAGAGCTCCCCAAGAGGGGGCCCAGAGGGGGACCGCCAACCGATATTTCGAGATCTCTGGCCCTAAAGGCCCCCAGTTGGCCCCCGGAGGCCACCACGAGGCTCCCATGAAGCCCCTTGAGGCGCCAAAGAGGCCCCTGGGAAGCCCCAAAAGACCCCCAAGGGGCTCCCAGGGAGCGCCCAAGAGGCTCCCCAACACACCCCAAGAAATCATGTCCCCAGAAAGCCTTCCGGGGACATGGTTCATCATGGGCCCGAGAGTTCCCGGAGGCCCCCAAGGGGCCCCCAGGGAACGCCCAAGAGGCCCCCCAACACACCCCAACAAGTCATGTCCCCAGAAAACCTTCCGGGGACATAGTTCATCATGGGCCCGAGAGTCTCCGGAGGCTCCGAAATACCATCACGCTGCCAGAGAGCTGTTTGGGAAGTTGACTGGGAACATGACTGATCGCCTTCTCGCGGCCCCCCGCAAATCGTTTCGCACAAAGTTGGCCCAACTGCCTTCTTGAACCGACGACGACGACGAAGACGACGAAACGAGGACGACGACGACGACGACGACGACGACGACGACGACGACGACGACGACGACGACGACGACTGCGGCGACATTACGACGACGACGACGACGACGACGACGACGACGACGACGACGGTACGCCCCAAGAGGCTCCCCAGGACGCTCCCAAAACCCATGTTCCCAGAAGGTCTTCTGGGAGCCAGATTCATCTGGCCTCCGCCCCCCTACGCAACCATATTCCCCGAAAGCTTTCCAGAATGCGGATTGACATGCGTGCACTGTGGTCCATTACTTCAGTGGAGCAGTGAACTCGTCAAGGCCTGGGGCCTGCTAGAACCTGAGCGCGCGCGAAGCGCGCGCAATGGTTCTAGCACACATTTGTATAAGTAGACACACACGTGCATCGGCATACTTCCTACGTGTATACTAGTTGATGTGTTTATCCTTGTATACATGTAAGAATGCATATATGCATGTTTGTCTGTCTGTCTGTCTGTCTGTCTGTCTGTATGTATGTATGTATGCCTATCTGCATATGTATATATACACCTATATATATATATACATATATATGTACAGGTGTGCAAATGTGTGCATATATGTCTATATACATATGCAGTCGGCGCCGCCGCTGCCGTCGCTGGCTGCGGCGCGGAGGCGACCACTGGCCCGGGCAGCGCGCCCGCCTCGATGCGCGGGGCGGCCTTCGCCCCCGAGCCGCCCGCGGCCCGCGGCGCGGAGTCGCTGGTGCCGCCGGTGCTGTGCCCCACGCTGGTGCTCCTCGGCAGCGCTCGGGGGGTCCTCGGCGGCTTTCCTCAAGGAGCCCTCGAGGAGCCCTCGGGGAGCCCTCGGCAACGGCTTTCTGGGCCTCCCAGGATGGGGTCGGCATCATCGTCATCATCATCATCATCATCATCATCATCATCATCATCATCATCATCGTCGTCATCATCACCATCATCATCATCATCATCATCATCATCATCGTCATCGTCATCGTCATCGTCATCGTCATCGTCATCGTCGCCATCACCAGCAACATCATCATCAACATCATTTACATCGCCATCGTCATCGTCATCGTCATCGTCGCCATCACCAGCAACGCCATCATCAGCGTCGTCAGCATCAACATCGACATCAGCGTCAGCACCAGCTGCCGCTGGTGCTGTGCCCCACGCTGGTGCTCCCCGGGAGCCCCCGGTGGGCCCTCGTTGGGGCTCCACTCGATCCCGCTTCGCTTCGGCTCGATCCGGGCCGGCTGCCCGCTGGCCGCGGCACCGCGGGGCGGGGCGCGCGCAGCGGAGCGACCCCTGGAAGCCACTGCGCATGAGCGGCCGGCTCCCCTCGGCGTCACCCAGGCACACTCTCTCTATACTCAGGCGGGGGAAAATCACACAGACACAATTCATCGTCGATCCCCAGGAAAATATGCGAAAATATGAGAAGTGGGGGGGAAGACAAAAACCCAGAAAATATGGGAAAATATGGGGGATATGTTTATTTGTGTGTATTTATTTGTGTGTCCCAGTTCCCCTTCATATATGTGCGTCGCCCCCCCAGGGGCGACGCGCGCACCGAGAAATCGTATGGCATGTGCGTCGTGGCGGGCGCTCTGTGGCCGACATCGCTCGGGAAACGGTGTACTACGAAATGGGTCTTCGGCATGTTCGGGTCGGACGCGCG